AAAATATTGACCTTTAACAATAAATTTCTGATCCCAGTAGGATGTGAGCTGCATTCCTTTTCAAATCAAGTTCTGAATATGTCTAAAACTTGCCAAATGCCTTACAGCGTCTTATAAAATTCAATTATATTTAACAATCCTGCGTATTTCAAACCTTCGTAAATCAAATAACTTGTCATTTAAAATTGCTTATCTTTCTCCACTTGCTTGGCTCGCTTCTGTGGCTAGCAAGATCTAGGATATCTCATGGAGTGACCGTATGATTCCCAGTTTTTGTACAATTTTGTGTCATTATTCTGAATTGCAAAGCCACTTTCTTATTTAGAGTATTCGTACTCAACCCAAATTTTCAATATTAAACAATCCATTTCACTAAAGTTCATTGGATCAATTTACATTGCAATTTGGCAGTTTAATTCTTTTCATTTTATCCTAATATTTTTGTTATAAATGTTTCAACTGTATATCTTTGTATGAATTTCCTGTTAGAATTCAATTAACAGCTAAATTTTTACAGTGTGATAAATAATAAAAACAACCAGTAACAATATAACAGACAGTTTGTTCAAAATTTCCAGTAGGAAAAAAACTGTGCACATTTTAAAATTATTCACATTACAAACTAAACACTACTTTTGGTAAACAGTATCATGGTAAATTTAAGCTTTGGTAAATTGCTTTTTCCCCTATAAAAGCAGAGATTCTACAGAAAAATTGGGTAAAAACTTTACTGAGGATCTAGAATAATAGGTAAAAAAGGCGAGAAACCCTTATTGCTTTCTAAAACATGCTATCAAAAATAAAATGTATTAATGTTAAAAATGTTTCCAGGTCTATTTAATAAATAAAGGAAAATATTTAATATTTTAAAAAATCATTAGAGAGAATGTTTACAGTAACAAGTTAATCTGCTAGGTCAAAATGGCTTCTATGTTTCATAGGTTTCTCAAATATAACTTCAAGAAATAAACTATTAACTGCTACATCTATCTGTCTTGCTTGGTTCAATGTATAAATAGATGAGAAGTAAAAATATTAAGAACCACAAAGAAACCAATTTAAAATTAAAAACTCCTTGAACAAGGACAAATATTCTCATAAAAAATCTGGATCCCAGTGTACAATGAGTGAACAAATCTGGTAACAATACTCAAAGAGGGCTTACCTAAACGTACAAACAACCACAAGTAAGAAATTGTATTAAATTAACACTTTACCTATCCTATTATTTAACTACAGATCATAGAATAATGGTAAGCTTAAAAACAAAAATTTGAATGATGGCGGCAAGAGAAGAGGCTCAGCCAAATATAACCTATCTATTGCAATCTTCTTGTCCCGACTTAGTTACGACGACGGCGTTCTTCTACAAATAAATCATAAAAAACAAAAATAATATACAAAAACTAAGTTTTATCACAATAATTGTGAAGAAGGACACAATTGAAATAAATGTAAAGGAAATGATCTCGCATGCACTGTCCCTATATTATAAGTTTCAGTGATTTATTATGAAAATTACGCATTTCTCAAATATCAGAATAAATATGATTTTTAGACATAGTTTATTAAAAAAATGTTATGTACATTTAATGAGATTTTGTGTCTGGTTTGTTTAATTTTGTTACTACCAAGAACTTTGGAAATGCAAAGAGATAAGATTACACATTTGACTTACTCAAACCCTGTAGGTTACCTTTTAAATCACAAATCAGTTTTGGAAACATTAAAAAATAACTGGATTTTAATTTTCTTTTGATAACTGGTGGAATTAGTTATTAAATTCATGAAAACTTTATGTTTGTTCTCAACACAACTATGCGGAACTCAGTCAAAGGAAAGTAAGTAAAGGTTTAGTATATTTCAGATCACTAACGTTAACATGACTAACATTCTAGGTAAGGTCTGGACAGGGAACGGATCAGTACAAAGACGCAGCAAAACATCTCATCTATTTAAAACTTTGTGCAAGTTATACTGATTTTTCAATACTTGTATACATATCATCCAAGCCACTGAGATCCAAGCTTAGAATAATGTTCAAATATTCACTCGATAACCTACTCTCCACAACCTCTTATCTATTATAGAGACAGTGTATGGCGAGAACTTAAAAAATATATCGAAATCAATTCTGTATGTTTTAGTTTTTGAAAAGAAACAATGCTTAATCCAGTCAGAGAATGCTTACGGATTAAAATTAACGCTACACATAAATAATTATTGCCACTTAAGAATATGAAGGCGACTAATTTGAAAATATAGCTATTATTAAATTTATAACTGGACTAATAGGAGCCCTAAAATCAGATGCACTAACAATATCGAGTGGTAGGTTGACGGCAGATCTAAGTATTCATCATTAAATGACAACCTGAAATCAGCAACATTTCAGTACTACAACTTATTATTCATTTTAAGAAATTTCGCCCAAAAATTGAGGTTTCAAACTAGCCGACATAATGGACTAAAAATTAAATAGTATACAATAAATATAACTATTCATAAATATTTATAAATCCTTTTGTCAAAGGGGTGGGAGTTTGACCCCTAAAACTCTTTTCTACTACACTGCTGTCCTCTGTTCAAATGTTGCAGTAATCAAGACAAAGTGACGCCAATTCCCTCCTCAGTTCAATGCTCTGAATTGTAATAGCCGATAAATATGGATGAGAAAATTGATTGGGTTTGGTGATTAAAATTAGAAACATTAGGGTGATAACAATCCCTGTTAAAACATTGCCACTTGAGAGAAGATTGTTGAGAAAATTTATATATTTTGGATAGATTGAGGCTATGGATCAGAATGTTTTAAGCTGGGTTTTCCTAGGCTAGGAAGCGGAGTGCAGAGAGGGCGTCCGCTCTCCTCCTGTCTTAGATAATTTAATGGTACAGTAGACTCCCTCTTATACGGACACCTTTTAACCGGAGATCGGTTTAACCTTTGAGGTCAAATTTTTTCCCCATTTTTCACCGAGTATAGTTTGCCATTAGAGCAGTCGAGAAAATGGCACCCGGTGACCTATACCTGCCATTCAACTGCAAAAATATACTTTTTTTTTTATGGGTCGCCATTTTTGAGCAGTCGGACAAATGGCGGGCGGGAACCTATACTCGCCATTCGACTGCAAAGGGTTAACCGGACTAGACTCGGCGGAAATGACATCGCTTTAACCGGACAATTTTTTCAGCACATCGGTTTAACCGGACTAGATCGGCAGGAAGTGGGCGGTACTGAAACGACTGTTCTCGTAGGAAAGATTTGAGACCAGTGATCACGTGTCTAAATACAATGCTCTCCTAAATTTAAGTCAAATACTGTATGCATTTAAACGGTACGTTTTAACGAGTTTTTGGGGACGTCGGTTTAAACGGAAAAACCGTTATCCGGACTGGCCCAGGTCCCGAGGAGTCTGGATAAGAGGGAATCTACTGTACTGTTTCCTAGAAGCGGAGTGGATCGCCACTGGAAGAGCGAAAACCACTCCTCCGAACTCCACGTTTTGTGCGGCATTCCGTGTCTAATAAAACAAAGGGTTCAGGATTCAAAAATTGTATTGTCGTTAGTCATACAAAATGATCCATTTGACATCGTCAGATATTTACCATTTTGCCGAAAACGCAGGAGGCGATTGCTATGTCCACACGACCGTGGGGGACGATATAATGATGTCTTCACAACTGCGAGGGGTGATCAGAATCAGACAGCTATCGCGCAAGACAATGTGCGGAATATGTTAATATATTTCTGCGATAATGGGAGACGATAATTATATCTACACGACTGCAGAAAATAGTCAGAATTTTGCCACAATCGTGGGATGTCTACATGGCCGCAAAAGATTATCAGAAGTTTAACGCGATTGTATGCAAATAGAACCACAAATAATTTTATTTTCCAATTTTTTGGCGCCCCCAAAGTAACCAATTGCATCGCGCCCTAGGCACGTGCCTACTGTGCCTATTCGGTAAATCGGCCCTGCACACATTCGTCAACCAGCTACGGGCTTAATGAGGGGTTAATCTCTAAAATAACAGAAATAGAATCAAAGAATGCTACTCATACTCGATAGCAGCATTGATTTTCTCTTCCATAGTTATCGGCTAGTTATTGTCCCATAAAGGTGGGAACTGGGAACAGTAGTAGGGGAGTAAACAACAAGACACTGGAGTCAGACATGAAATAGCTAGCTTTGTCTCAATGAGAATTCATTGGAGACCTTAACTTATACACAAACGTCGTATTAGATGATAAATTTGACTATTTATAAAAGTAGAGGACATCCTACTCCGATGTAAACCGTAGCCATTATTAAAATGGGAATAGATGTAATTGAATTGAACCTCTGACTAAGATGTTGATATCAATCACTCACTTCTGTCAATTATGGAAAGGATAACTTTTTGTAAACTATAGCGTCTCATGTCTGATCCCATACATAGTACCAAGCACAAAAGGAAATATCTAAATTTTGACAACAGCATACTCGGTGATTTCATTCATATATACTGTTTGAATTCAAAATTGACTCCTGCTGGTCCATATTAGATGGGATGTCTACTTTGAAGTACTAAGCAAAATGATAATTACGTTTTAAGGCCTCAGAACTGAAAAGAGTTGCAACCACCCTCTTCAACACACGAGCTTACATGTTGTTAGTGTTTAGCTTGAGAAGGTAAAAATTACGTTAGACTAATTTTAATTATCTCCTGTGATCTTCTACAATTACAGCTTGAACATCTGCGATTACGGG